CATAGATAAGAAAAAAAACTAATAAAGAAAAACACACGATATAATATGAAAGAAAAAAAAATGTATTTTGTACATGAATTTATGAAAATAATAGAAATTATTAAAATATAAAAGTATATAATTACTTTACTTTTATTATTTTTATTAATATTTATATTTAATTGATATAAGTAAAATATTTGAACACAATAATAAATTGATTAGAAAAAATAATAATGCTAACTAATATCAATTTTTATTTTTATTATTATTATACTATAAATCTATAAAATTATGTACTACATAGTTTAGTTAAAAGGTGTCTTTCATTAAAGTAAAGCTTAATAAATATTTTAAAAAATACTTTTATAAAAAAAGTCAATTTTTAAAAAAGAAACAAAACCTTATAAACTGAAATATAATGATAAAAACTACTCTATAATAGAACAATGAATAACATTAAAAAATTAAACGCGAAGACATATTGCCAACTAAATGAATGTTGATTGCTTAAGATATCTTTTATATTTGATATATTTATATTAAATAAAACTATAATTACAATGATTGGTAAAAGAGATAAATTATAATTTATAGTAAAATTATAATTGAACGTAGTTATCTATTATAAAATATGTCAACTTGGAACAGTGATCTTTTTCCTTAATTACAATACAAAAATATAATATAAAAACATATAAAATGGCATTTAATAATTATTTTTTACATATTTAGTTATTTATAATATTTATATTTGCTAATTTTTATATAATTTTTTAAGTTTCAAAATTTCTTGATTATCAATAATGTGTTTTGTTGTATTAATAATTAGATTATTGTTTTAAAATTTTAAGAATATACGGTACAATACTTTGTTTAAAAGACACTTTAATTAATCATTGTATTATCATATATTGATGATTGGATTAATTATTTACAATTACATAATTGTTTGAAATTCATCTGGTCATATAAGTTTTTGCTAATTATTGCATTTATTGCCTATTTTGAATCTACAGCTAATATATATAAAAGAGCAAAGATTCACACAAATTTTTTGTGACATATTTTGATGATTGTGCAACACCTAATCTCTATTTTGATGTCAAATAAACTAATGAATCATACATTACCCTCGTGGGGATATGAACTTTTAGTTATTTAGATTTTTTCTTGATACCATTTATCTTTATTCTATTTTGTTTATAGTGTATCTTAAAAGTAAAAGTTATTTATAAAACATTATTAAATTCTTAAACTATTTTAAGTCACCAAAAAAGCTTAATATTAAAAGAATGGGTTACAATATGTATTAATTTGTATTCTTGAAAAATTAAAAAATCACTTAATATTTCAAATAAATCATTTATTTTAAGTTTCATTACTATATATAAGATTTGTTTAAAAAATTATAATTTTATTTTTTCTTTATTTAAACAACAATTATTGACTGTGTAGTTGTTATGAAAGTTTTTATTTTTTTTTTGGAAATGGCATGCTTAATATATCATTTGTGTTTGGTGTGTTTTTTTTTTTTTGCCCGAAACAATAGAGGTATTATATAAAAGGCAAATTTGACCATAATATCACGACCTTTATCAAAGTTGTAATTTAATCATGACCTTTTCACTTTTACAAATTATATCACAATTTTTAGTTTGCTGCAAACAGTCTGAAAACAGTCATAGAAAAGTTGATGTGGTCGAACAACAAACTGAAGATTGTGATATAGTAGTTTATACAATGATTGAAAAGAACATCAAGAATTTTAATGGCAGAGTTAGTAATTTTACAGAGATATTTATGAATTGTTAGTAGAATACCTTCTAATAAGTTATCAATTTGTCTATATGGAGAGAGAGAGAGAGAGAGAAAGAGAGAGAGAGAGAGAGAGAGAGAGAGTAATGTAGATTAAAAAGAATATCAAGAATTTTAATGACACAGTTGGTAATTTCACAGAGATATTTATGAATTGTTAGAATAATACCTTATAATAATCATACAATCATGAAGTTTGACTTTGGCTAAAATATTTCTAAGTGTCGATTAAAACAGACATTTGGCCAAATTAGTTAAGAAAAAATTTTCAATACTATTGATGTATTGAGTTTCAACGAGTATGAATGTTTCTTATGAGAACATCAAAAAGAAAATGAAAAAAAATCATTCTTGAATCTAACATAAATAAATAAATGAATTCATGAATCTATAATATACATCATATCCTTATTTAGTTATTTAGTGTTTTTTTATTAGAGACTCATTTTTCATATATTTTTGTTGGGTTGTAATATGTTATTTTAACATTTTTGGGTTACGACATCATTATATTATTTTTGAAAAAAAAATACATTAAGAGTTTATTTGTTCTTCAATCTATTTTGTTCTACGCAATCATATGATATAAATTAATTAATTTATCTTACTAAACTTAATCGGCCAAAAATATTTGTTACCACGTGCATCGCACGTGCACTTTACTAGTAAAAGAAAAGGAACCAAATATTATTCCATCTGGTAATTTTATAAATAACAAACTTAAAATAAAGAGACCCCTAAACCATATATAATTGAAATTCATAACTATCCTAACCAACTTAAAATAAAAGGCATTGCTGCAACTTCTTTATTCATAAGCGGGGGAAGCATTAATTAGTTTTGGCATCCTTCCCGGCCGTGAGCTGTGCACCTCCGGAGGAGTAGGCGGCTGGGGGAACGGCCAGTGCGGCCAAGTGGCGGGAATGGGTGGGTGGGGCCACGGNCCTCCTGCTCTGAAGCCGCGGGGGAAGCATTAGTTTTGGCATCCTTCCCCGCGGTGACCTGTGCACCTCCTGAGGGAGTAGGAGGCTGGGGGAACGGCCAGCCGACGGGAATGGGTGGGTGGGGCCACGGGAACCCTGGGCGGTGACGGATGTAAGGGAAGGGGCGGTGACGGATGAAAGGGAACGGGTGGGAACGGACGAAAGGGAAGGGGCGGGGATGGAGAAAGGGATGGATGCCCCAAAACCACTCGGGCTCTGCAGCAAAGCTCTCGTGGCTCATCTCTTGCTCGAGGCTCACGGCATCGGAAAAGAGGCACGACAAGCCTAGGAAGAGGAGGAGGAATACAAGGGATGAGTACTTCGCCATGCCTATTCTAATTCTATGTAATTTGTTTTCATAATTATTTTGATGCCAATGTGGGGGTTTATATAGGATTTGTAAGAGAGGAATTTTAAGAAACGTGAGCACCTATGTTTGATTTATTTGGGTATATCAAGATTCAAGAGTTTAGTTTGGTGTTGAATTGTTGGAGATTCAGGTATGTTATTCGGTTGTTGGACTCTTGATTAGCAGCACCCGCTATTCAGCACGTTGCAAACTATCCACAAGGACGATTACCATAATCCTAATTTCACGCTACTTCCTTTTAATTCAAGAGCACAAAATGCTGGATATGGGGATATTGTGATTAGTTTCTTAAAAAAAGATTACATGATCTTGAATCTTTTAACAACAGAATAAAGGGACCCACAGCGGGTTGTCCTAGAGAGCCGTGGCATGATTTGCACTGCAGAATTTATGGAAATAGCACTGAAGATTGCAAACAAAATCCAAGCTGGCGAGAGGTTTGCCGCTTATATTCTGGTTCCAATGTGGCCAGAGGGAGTCCCTTCAAGTACTCCAACTTAAAGAATTCTCTTTTGGCAGGTGTGCTCTTGTGTTTTTTCTTTTTTTTTTTTCAAGTTAAAAAAGAATAAACTAATAGTTTTCCACATGCCTGCAGTACAACACAATGCAGATGATGTACAAAATCATCTGCAATGCTTTAGTAGAGGCGGGCTTCCACACAGAATACAAACCTCAGGATTATTTGAACTTCTTTTGCCTTGGTAATCGTGAGCCGGACTACAGTGGTTCCGATCTGTCAGACGTCAAGAGCTCCAGGTCCAGCACAAGCACCCCACTGGTAAATTATACCAACTCAAATTAGAATTCAAAAACTTACACCATACTTCATAATTTGTGATCTTATATTTTAACAGTGTCCCGACACCTTTTTTTACTATGCAGGCCCTTAGTAAGAAGAACCGTCGTTTCATGATTTATGTCCACTCGAAGGGAAGGATAGTGGACGACGAGTACGTGATATTGGGGTCCGCCAACATTAACCAACGCTCTCTAGCAGGGACGAGAGATACTGAAATTGCCATGGGCGCGTATCAGCCTCATGGCAAGGAGTTGAAGCTTAAGGATGTTCTGCATGTTCCAGATATCCGCAAGAATTTGGTCTCTGGATCTTTTTTTGTTGAGCATGGATTTAGGCTGGTGCTAAGAAGTTTGTTCTTAGCAAGTTTGGAACATTTCTTGGTCGTGGATATCTCGACAAGAGTATGTTTAAAATGAATGTAATGGCCAAGAGCCGTGTAACCATCGATAATGAAAAACCTATTTCTGTTTATACCGTTGAGTACTCTGATTTATAACATATTAGATTGGGACATATAAATCTAAATGCAATTAAACGGTTGATGAATTTAGAATTAATTCCTAATTCTAAAATTGAATCACATAAGAAATGTGAAATTTGTATTGAAGCAAAAATGGCTAAGTTGCCTTTTCACTTGGTGGAAATGAGTACTGAACCATTAGGCACAATCCATACTGATGTATGTGATATGAAAAGTGTGCAAACAAGAACGGGTAAAAAGTATTTTATTACTTTTATCGATGATTGCACAAGATTTTTGCTACTTATATTTGTTAAGAAGCAAAGACGGGGTTGTGGAAGCATTTAAGATATATAAGACCGAAGTTGAAAATCGACTCGGCAAAAGGATTAAATTAATCCGAAGTGATAGGGGTGGGGAGTATGTAGCTCCTTTTGAACAAATATGTTCTGAATATGGCATAATTCATCAAACGACGGCCCCTTATTCTCCACAGTCGAACGGTGTTGCTGAATGCAAGAATCGTACATTAAAAGAAATGATGAATGCCATGTTGATAAATTCAGGATTACCCCAAAACATGTGGGGGGAAGTTGTTTTAACAGTAAAGCATATCCTGAATAAAAAACCACCTAAAGGAAAAGATGAGACTCCTTAAGAAATGTGAAAAAATCGTAAGTCGTCTTATAAATACCTGAAAGTGTGGGGGGTGTTTGGCTAAGGTTTCAGTACCTGAACCCAAACAAATGAGAATCGGTCCAAACACGGTCGATTGTGTATTTATTGGATATGCGTACAATAGTACGGCATATAGATTTCTTGTTTATAAATCAGAAAATCCAGAGGTATATGTGGGTACCACAATTGAGTCGAGGAATGCTATATTTTTTGAGAATATTTTCCTCTGAAAGAAAGAGCAAAATCTAGTTCTAATAAACGAACGTATGAAACTGCTAGTGGTTCTGTACCAGAGGGTACTAATGAAGAACCAAGACGTAGTAAAAGGGTAAAAACGGCTAAGACGTTTGGACCTGATTTTATTACGTACATATTGGACGATGAACCGAGTTTCCTTAAGGAAGCTCTGTCTAGTCCAGATGGACCACTCTGGGAAGAAGCTGTAAATAGCGAAATCGAGTCCATTATGCAAAATCATACTTGGGAGTTGGGTTGTAAACCTTTAGGATGCAAGTGGATCCTAAAGAAAAAATATAAAGCTGATGGATCGATTGATAAGTTTAAAGCACGATTGGTGGTCAAAGGCTTTAAACAAAAGGAAGGGTATGATTTCTTTAATACATATTCATCAGTTACGCGTTTAGCGTCGATAAGAGTGCTTCTCTCGATTGCTGCTTTGCACAATCTTGAGATTCACCAAATGGATGTCAAAACGGCATTTTTGAATGGTGAATTAGAAGAAGAAATATACATGGAACAACCTGAAGGGTTTGTTGCACCTGGACAAGAGAGAAAGGTGTGTAGATTGATCAAATCCTTGTACGGACTGAAACAAGCTTCGAAAAAATGGCATTTGAAATTTGATGACGTGATGTTGTCAAATGATTTCAAAATCAACAAATGTGACAAATGTGTTTATGTCAAGAATACATCATATACATTTGTGATTGTATGTCTATATGTAGACGATATGTTGATCATGAGGAGTAGCCATGAAGTGATCATGGATATGAAAAGAATGTTGAAGAGAAATTTCGACATGAAAGATATGAGTTTGGCTGATGTTATTCTTAGAATAAGGATTATCAGAACCCAAGATGGAATTGTCTTGTCACAATCTCATTATGTAGAGAAAGTGCTCAAGAAATTTAATGCCTATGCCGGTGCACAGTCTAGGTGTAAGACGCCCCTTGATCTTAGTATAAATCTGGTGGCTAATAAAGGTCAACCAGTGGCTCAGTTGGAATATTCAAGGATAATAGGGAGTCTGATGTATTTGACAAATTGTACACGACCAGACTTAGCCTATCCGGTGAGTAAGTTGAGCAGATTTACAAGTAATCCCAGTCATGAGCACTGGAATACTTTGAGAAGTGTACTTAAGTACTTAAGGTACACCCTTGAATACGGGCTAAAATACTCGAGGTATCCAGCCGTACTCGAAGGGTACTGTGATGCAAGCTGGATATCAGATTCGAGAGATTCTCGTTCCACTAGCGGATATGTTTTATGTATTGGAGGAGGTGCAGTTTCGTGGAAATCCACAAAACAAACATGTATAGCTCGGTCAACGATGGAATCGGAGTTCATCGCTTTAGATAAAGCTGGTGAAGAAGCCGAGTGGCTTAGAAATTTTCTATCCGATATTCCATGTTGGGATAACCAAGCTGCTATAGGAAGGGCACAAAGCAACTAGTATAACGGTAAGTCTAGACATATTCGTCGTAGACATAATACCGTACGCCAATTGATCACAAATGGTGTTATTTCCATTGACTATGTGAAGTCTAAGGAAAATTTGGCTGATCCTTTGACGAAAGGATTGAATAGAGATCAATTGAGAGTTTTGCTAGAGGGAATGGGCTTAAAAATCCACAATGTAAAGAATGATCATAGTGGTAACCCTACCATTCTGAGTGGAGATCCCATGAACTTGGTTCAAAGGGAAAACTAAGTTGTGAAAATTCAGTTAAGCACTTGGAACATATGAATGTCCAAAGCTATTCCCTAGAGCACTCCAAGTGCAAGATGACCTGTTGATTGTGGTGAGGGTAAGTCATGTGGACTTTTAATGAATCCCTAACCTTGTAAAAGTGGAGTAATACATGATACTCTTGATAGGGAAGTCACCTATATAAGTGTGAAGTGTGGGCCGCTTCAAATGTAAACACTTATGAATCCAAAGTGTTGTCCATGGCCAAAACGGACGCAACGATAGAACGTAATGGAGTTAACGCTCTATTGTGTGAATATCATTGTCTCGGTGTACACTATGTAGGAATAGTTCTAGGTATTATGTCCACTAGGCCGCTAGTGCATCCGATGATGTTTACTACGAAAGGTTCAAAGCCAATAGCTACCATTTCTGATGCAATAGAGTTTTGTGAGAGTTGAGCACAATAGCCTATATATATTTAATTTATACTCATGTGAGGGATTGTTGTAATAATTGAGTGTAAATGATTGTCCAACTTGGATTATTGGTTGGCAAAGTTGACTTTAATTATTGATCAAAATTATTGTAAATAATTGATCATAATTATTGCAAATAATTGATCATATATATTGTAATTAATCCCCATAATTGAGGCATCTTGATTAGCAATTCATCTATATAAATAGATGTGTTCAATTGATGAAGAACACGGCAAAGAAGAAAGAAAAGTGAACAGAGAGGAAAGAAAGAAAGGAAAGAGAAAAAAAAATTAAAGAGAGAAATAATAATAATAATAATAAAAATATTAGTGATAAAAATAGAGAAAAATTATCAAAGAGATAATTTAATTCTTATTTTTAAGTGTTCAATTCTCGTTTCCGTTACAGTTCGCCGGAGCTCGTAAATCTGGTGTGCTACAGATTTAGAGATGTTTGCTTATCTTTGGGGAAGTTACGCCTGAACTGTTAGCTGCCACACGGGGGTCGTATTCTTCTTGCGGAAAGAGTTTTACTCATCTTTCCGTTTTGTTTTTAAGATTTAATTTATTCTTCAGTTGTAATTTATTTTTCAGTTCAATTGTAATTTTATATTTTTAAATTATTTGTAAGAACTGAAAAATATTTGTAGAATTCTCGTGTATTTTTACACTGNACCACGCCAAGTCCATGTCTGTAACTACCTCTTGGTTCCTCAATATACCTAAATAATACAAAATTTATTATTATTTTTTCTTTGCCCGATTGCCAGTACATGAAACTTCACAGATCCAATCTGGATTCTTGAAATATACTATGAATAAAGTCCATGATTTAAACACTGAAATTATAATTTAATCAATGGACAGAAAAAAATCAAATGAAACTACAGACCAACAATAATTTTAATTAGTATTTAATACGAGCAACATTATCACCGTGCATTCATAGAATAATAAATTTGGTTAATCAATTCAAATTGACTAAAGTTTTCATATATATATTAATCTAAAGAGATTACACCTCCACTAGACAAACAATTGATTTCGTGAGTGACTTTTAATTAAATAATAGTATTCAACCACATGTATTTGTACACATATAAATAAAGTATTATAAATTATTTATATGCATATAATATTAAAATTATAAGTTAGATAACAGTATTAAATTTTAAATATAAAATATTATAAGTTGTATTTATGCATATAATATTAAAATTATAAGTTAGATAATGATAATATGTTTTAAAATTTAATCATTAGTTAAAATAAATAGTACATAACTATTTGATTGCATATGAATTACTTTATTGATTGCATAAAATGTAATAAATAATGTAATCTTTATAATTTTGAGAGATCGTGACTAATTAGTTTGCTAAAAAATATTAAATTTATTAGAACAATTGTTTATCCGATTTTAAGAGATTTTACTATGACATTAAAATAAATTAATTTATTTAAAAAATAATCGCTTAATCGGATAAAAATATAATATTGGTTTTATTTACAATTTAATTTTTTATGTTAATATAATATTAGTTTTAAAATAAATAACTTGAACAAAAAGTTTTACAATATAATTTTTTATATTTATGTAACTTTCAAATATCAATTAGTGTAAAATATAATTATTAATTTTGATAATAACTATTATATAATACAATCAAAAAATATAATTATTACTAAATTAATAATGAGGAAGGCTCTTCAGTTGGGCTGGAACCATAGCAGATGCATCATCAATAACAAAGGCTTAGTTCCTAAGCTTAACAGGCACCTGAATCAGTTTCAACCATGCTGTAACAATATTGCAGCTGATATTTATTACCTTATCCACCGTTTCTCTTCCTTTAATTTGGCTATTGTTGTTTGTTATTGTTGCATTGAAGGGTACTGTTGGACTTCCCTGTGTTGTATTGCTAGCACTTGCTAGCTCGATTGTAAGACNCAAACTATGGCATTTTGCAACATAAATATACATTTCTATATATATATATAATAAGAATTATTATTTACCAAAAATAGTAACAAAAAAATAGGTCAGAATTTAATGCAATCTATAAATAGTAAGTTTTATTATTTTTCTTATTTTTTTCTTTAAAACTCGTACGACATTAAATGTTACCTTAAATTTCGGGCTTTAGTTCATTTTATTATTTAAAAAATCCGGCTAAGTTTATTAAGTGTGTATGTTTTCATTTTTATTTTTTTTTAGAAACAACGAACAACATTAAAATCTCGGTCTCTATATTTATAAAATCTCAATTCAAAATATAACAAAAATTTTAGAATCTCAGTCTTTATATTTGTGCCTTTAAAAAAAATATTGAACGCTAAAAATATTATTTAAATTGCATAATCAATCAATTGATCTTAATTTTTTGAAAATTACTATGTTTATTTTTTATTTATATGCATAAAGTAAAAATAATTAATTCATCTTTAGCTATATAATTTATAATCTTAATATACTATCATTTGGTGTACACATTTATTATATGAATCATAAAATATTTTTATTTCATAAAATTAAATATATTAGAAAAAAAAAAATCTTCGAATCAATCGGGTGATTGAATTAGTGTACTGCTCAGGTTGATTGAATTAATTTTAGGTAATATTTAAAATTGTTTAAAAACTTGACACAACTTGGTTGGTCCTAGATGACTAAGTTATGTATCAGTTCGACCACATCAAATCGATTATTGAACCTAAATATAAATTTTATATTGAAAATATTTTATTACGTGAATGTGATGTAGTCCAAACTTCAAGTAATCGTATTAACAATACTTTTATGACAACATGTTTAATGATTTATGAATATTTATATATCATTTTATTAATACTTATGCGAATTAAATAATATTTTATGTAATATTTATTAATGTATGGTAAATATAAGGTTTTCAGAACTAGACCGTCATCGAAACGATGAAGCTATTTTATTAAATCATTTGTGATTTGTTCATATTTTAATTTATAAACATTTTAATATATATATATGTAGTACTTTTGTAATAAATTTAAATAAAATGTGTTACTTAGATATTTCAACAATTTATAAATTCAAATGTTTAAATTAATTGATAAATAATTTATAAATCTTTATTTTATTTAAAATAATTTTAAATATAACAAAATTTATTTAGAAAATTTTATCGATCCTACCAGTCCAACCAACTAGTGTTGACAGATTCGAGAGCAAATATTATTCAAGCGAACTAGACTGGTTATAAATCGGTCTTCGGTCAATCCGGTCGGATTGTGTTCAACTCGGTTTAATTTAAAAATAATAGATAAATCATAATTAATGTTATTTATATATTTAATTTATATATAATCGTAATATTGTTTTCTCGTGCATCGCATATTCGCACGCACTAGTTTGTTATAAATATATGAAAGATGGATCCACTTAAGGGTATGTGACCTGGCATAAGAATTTGTGAAACTTGGAGTGCCCATAGCCAAATATTTTTTCCTTATATATATCAACTGACATTCACTCATCATATGTCCTAGAGAAAAATTCTTCACTCACCCACCACTCTTATTTTCCCCCACACATTCGATTCCGCCATGGGCGCTACCGAGAACGGCTCATCAGCTCAGTCTCTCAAGTTCCTGATCTACGGCCGCACGGGCTGGATAGGCGGTCTTCTGGGCAAGCTCTGCGAAGCCCAGAACATCGACTACGTCTACGGGTCGGGGCGGCTGGAGAACCGGGCCTCGCTGGAGGCCGACATCTCCTCGGCCCGGCCCACGCACGTGTTCAACGCCGCCGGCGTGACGGGGCGGCCCAACGTCGACTGGTGCGAGTCCCACAAGGTGGAAACGATCCGAACCAACGTTGTCGGCACGCTGACGCTCGCCGACGTGTGCCGGGAGAAGTCTCTGGTGCTGGTTAATTACGCGACGGGCTGTATCTTTGAGTACGACGCCGGACATCCGCTCGGTTCGGGTGTCGGGTTCAAGGAGGAGGACACGCCCAATTTCATCGGATCCTTTTATTCCAAGACCAAAGCTATGGTGGGGTTATCCTTCTTACTGTTTTTCAGTTAGCATTAGTCTGATCTTGAAATATCGATCTTTTACTGTTTAATGATTTTAAGATCTACTCTCTGTTTTTTTTATGGTGATTATGAATTAGTGTTGGATTTTTTGCTGATTCTAGGTGTTGCTAAATAATGTGGTGATGGTAATATCTCGAAATTTAATCTTGATTTGGAGGATGATGGTTTAGATTTGATCTTATATCTATGATTATATGCAGGAATATAGTCTTCAATGTCTGCTAAAGTTCCACTGATTGTTCAAACTTAATTTGTTTTAGAGCTTGTATAACCACAAGAAAATAGACGAACGCTTGCCATAATTTTTTGCTGACATTTGTTATTGTTCCTAGGATGGAATAAGGAAATGATCTATGTAATGATTTCTCATTTTTGGACATTTAACACCATTCTGCATAATACTTTGGTTTTTGGTGTAACCTTGTGTGTTTTGTAGCATTTGACTTGGGAGTTGCTGGTGGTCCTTATACCTCTAGACTTAGTTTCCTGCCAACTTTAGCATTTTCCTTGCGTTGCCATACGCGTTTACTTGCATTGATTGTTGTAGGTTGATTACAGATACATCGAAATGAATGGTTTCTGAACATTTGCCCTTCATCAATATGTGAGATGCATTAGTATATAACCACTGTAAATCCAAACTAAAATTCCTATCACTCATCAATTTATTAATCTATATATTTAATGCATTAGGTCCTGATTTCGATTTTCTTTCAAACACCTTGATTGTCAGGTTGAGGATTTACTGAATAATTACGAGAATGTCTGCACACTGCGGGTCCGGATGCCCATCTCGTCCGATCTATCAAATCCTCGTAATTTCATCACAAAGATCACAAGGTACGAGAAGGTGGTGGACATCCCCAACTCCATGACCATCTTAGATGAGCTTCTCCCCATATCCATCGAGATGGCTAAGAGAAACCTCACTGGGATATGGAACTTCACAAACCCAGGAGTCGTGAGCCATAACGAGATTCTGGAAATGTACCGTGAGTACATAGATCCTAATTTCACTTGGGCCAACTTCACTCTCGAGGAGCAGGCTAAGGTGATTGTTGCCCCCAGGAGTAACAATGAGCTCGATGCCTCCAAACTGAAGAAGGAATTTCCCGAACTCTTGCCCATTAAGGAATCCCTCGTGCAATATGTGTTCAAGCCAAACCGAAAGACTCCGGTGGTTTGAGAGTCCGAGAGTTTCATGAGTTGAATGGGTGATGTTAGTTTTTACCTGTTGCCATGTTTGTTCCATTTACAACAGAGTTGCTTTGTTTTTGTTTATTTTTCTTGTTGTATGAAAGGTACCACTGATTAAGTGAAAAAAAGTTTCAATTGCATTTTGGTTATTATTTACATCATCTATGTTATAGTTTACCATGTACAAGCATTTGTGTTTACTTGAAGCATATATTGTCAATATTAAAATGCGTAGTTTAGCATCAGGAGTTATAAGAAACCTAAGCTTGGTTCCTCTCCTCTCACCCACAGGACTTCACTTGCTTCCCTTTTTTTTCAATCTTCTGATAAATCAAGGACTTCTGGCGGGCTGGGACCCTCATGGACTGAGCTACCCCGAGATTGTTAGGAGCACCCTAGATGTAATTGTAGACTACGAGTGGAACCCTCACCACGTGGGCCCCGTCCGTCCACATGATCGCTCCCGACATGATCGGCTGCTGCCAGATGGCGGGCCCCGAGACACTAACCGTGAATGTCTTGTTATCCCTATAATCCGAAAAGGTGAGAATGGACGGCTCGACCGTCACACTGATGGATGATGCAGGTACGTGCCAGCTGGCGGTGTAGGTCGAGTTTCGCGCACAAACATTAGTCACCTTTCCGGTGAAGGTTTTCTTGATGGTTTGGCCATCTTGGACGTACAAGGAGAATGAGGGGTAGTTGAGATCCCGTCCCCTTGTGCCGGCACAAGTGCTATTGTCACCCGTGATTCGCCTGAGAGTGGTGGTGTTGTAGCCGTGTCCACACAGGAAGTCGATGTAGTCGGCTTCTGATGCATTGAACACAAGTCCCGGATCAAGTGCAGCGACGGGTTCGATGTGGCCCGATCCATATGCTAATTCGAGATCCTCATGTTTCTTTCGGTCCATGACCGAAGCTGATTGATTGACATTTGACAACTTATTACTCTGCTGTCTAAGGTTTTGTAGTAAGGACTGATTGATTGAAAAAGGTTGTGTGAATATGTTTTTGTTATTAACCTGTTGTCATGAGGGCTGATTTTTGACTCATCGTCTGATGAACTCAACTGGCAGAGGAACTCAAGTGGCTGCTTCTGTGTTTAGGGAATGTGTTCTAATTTTTTATGTTAAACTGTTTATCTCTTTACTACATAGTTTGTTATTACTAGTATCCTCACCCATGCGATGCACGGGACATATTTATTAAAATATTTTAATAAATATATTAATATATATATATATATATATATATATATCATAAAAAATAAATGACAATTAAATAACATTATTATTGAATGAATAGTAAAAGTACAATATTGTATGGTATTACAAATTGTGGAAAACTTCTCGATAGAAAATATTTTTAGTAGTTTTCTTTTCCCCATTATCCTCCCCACATATTAATATCTTCAATCATTGTGGATTAGTAATTCGAGACACAACAATGTATAATTGACCATGACTAAACACGAGTCTTTTCAAGTAAAGTCTGACATGGGATAACGACTGTCCTTGATTCTTGTTGATTGTCATTGCGTAAGAAACCATAAGAAGAAATTGTCTACGCTGGAACTTGAAGGGTATCCTGAGATCAAATGGAGTTAGGGAAAGTCTTGGTACCAATACCTTATGTCTAGCATTTGATTCTGTTAGAATCTTACATTCAAGCACGTGAGTGCTAAACTTCGTTATCCCCAAGTGTGTTCCATTACACAGTCCAATCGAATGGTCAATGTTTCTCAACAACATGACAGGAGTCTCAACCTTTAAGTGCAATTCATGATTTGGAACACCAGAACATTTTATACTATTTAAGAACTCCGGCGTGTGCAGGTCATGCAAGAAATCATCACCACCATCGAATTTGCATGTGGTATCAGAACTTAAATAAGTATTACCATCCGATATATTCAAAGATGACATATATTCATTGATGGATTCAACAGAGGTAATATAGTCCTATCTTTCAAATATATGAGATCATCATGCGATCTTTAACCATTGGATACGTGTTTTCCACGATGGTTGCGATGGGGTCAAACACAACACCAACATTTGATATGGATAACATATTTTTAGCGCAAAAATCATCTTTCGAAACAAAAGTTTAAGTATTGAAGAAAACCATGGAAAATAGTAATTAGAGACCAAAATAAAAAAATTAATCAACGTTTTCGGAAAAACTTAGTTTCGAACACAACACCAATATTTGATGTGGATAAAGTATTTTCATCGCAAAAATCACGTCTCGAACTAAAAGTTTATGTATTAAAAAAAGCCATGAAAAATAATAATTAGAGACTAAAATAGAAAAATTAATCAACGTCTCCCAAAAAACTTGGTTTCGAACACAACACCAATATTTGATGTGGATAACATATTTTCATCGCAATAATCATATTTTGAAACAAAAGTTTATGTATTGAAAAAAGCCATAGAAAATAGTAATTACAGACCAAATTAGAAAAATTAATCAATGTCCTTTAGAAAACTTTGTTTCGAACACAACACCAACATTCAATGTGGATAACATATTTTCATCGCAAAATTAAGTTAAAAAAAAAAAAGTTTATTATATAAAAAAAACCCATGAAAAATAGTAATAAGATGACCAAAATAGAAAAATTAATCAATCTCTCTGAAAAAACTTGGTTTTGCAAACAACACCAACATTCAATGTGGATAACATATTTCCATCGCAATAATCATGTTTTGAAACAAAAGTTTATGTATTGAAAAAAGTCATTTGAATACAACACCAATATTTAATGTGGATAACATATTTTCATCGCAATAATCATGTTTCGAAACAAAAGTTTATATATTGAAAAAAGATTATGGAAAATAGTAATTAGAGACCAAAATAGAAAAATTAATCAACGTCCTTGAAAAAAACTTAGTTTCGAACACAATACCAACATTCAATGTGGATAACATATTTTCATCACAAAATCAAGTTTCGAAACAAAAGTTTATGTATTAAAAAACCCATGAAAAATAGTAATTAGAGACCAAAATAGAAAAATTAATCAACGCCTCCGAAAAAACTTAGTTTCGAAAACAACACCAACCTTCAACGTGGATAACATATTTTCATCGCAAAAATCAAGTTTCGAAATAAAAGTTTATGTATTAAAAAACCTCATGGAAAATAGTAATTAGAGACCAAAATAGAAAAATTAACCAACGTCTCCGAAAAAACTTAATTTCGAACACAACACTAACATTTGATTTAGATAACATATTTTAATCGCAAAAATTAAGTTTCGAAACAAAATCTGAAGTATTAAAAAAACCCATGAAAAATAGTTATTAGAGAGCAAAATAGAAAAATTAATTAACGTAATTGAAAAAAACTTGGTTTCGAACAAAACACCAACATTTGATGTGGATAACATATTTTCATCGCAAAAATCAACTTTCCAAAAAAAAATTTTATGTATTAAAACTAAAACCCATGGAAAATAGTAATTAGAGACCAAAATAGAAAAATTTATCAACGTCTCCGAAAGAACTTGGTATCTAACACAACACCAACATTCAATGTGGATAACATATTTTTATCGCAATAATCATGTTCCAAAACAAAAGTTTATGTATTGAAAAAAAACCGTGGAAAATAGTAATTACAGACCAAAATAGAAAAAATTAATCAACGTCCTTGAAAAAAATTGGTTTCGAACACAACACCAACATTCAATGTGGATAACATATTTTCATCACAATAATCATGTTTCAAAACCAATGCTTATGTATTGAAAAAAGCCATAGAAAATAGTAATAAGGGACCAAAATAGAAAAATTAATCAACGTCTTCGAGAAAACTTAGTTTAGAACACAACAACGACATTTGATGTGGATAACATATTTTCTTCGCAATAATCATGTTTCGAAACAAACGTTATGTATTGAAAAAGTCATGAAAAATAGTAATTAGAGACCAAAATAAAAAAATAATAAACGTCTCTGAAAAAACTTGGTTTCGAACACAACACCAACATTTGATGTGGATAACATATTTTGATCGCAATAATCATGTTTCGAAAAAAAGCCTTTTTGATTCTTTTATTAACTGATTTATATATTGGATTTCCAAAAGTTTAAATATTTAAAAAAAGATATGGAAAATAGTAATTAGAGACCAAAATAAAAAAATTAATTAACGTCTCTGAAAAAACTTGGTTTGCGCAAAAATTGTGGGATATTAATGTAGATTTCATTCTTCTTGAATTATGAAAGAACAATATGATGACACAAATTTTGGAAATGAGATTTATAGCGTGAATTACTCCTATTATGTACTCGAGTATCTTGGTAAGTTTGGGTGTATTTAGTTAAGCAAGCACCATTAATATTGCTTAATTTTATTGACATTAATATGATTCATGTATTTTGTTAATCATTCACGATTATCATGTATTCATATAATAACTTAATTTAAATAGGTTATTCATAATAAATATTTTTTTTTCTTTAACATGTTTTTTGGATCTATACATAATGTTAGCATAAACTACTAGGTATGGCTATGTTAGCATAAACTAATACGACTGTCTTAAAAAACACAGTAATGACATATGTAGATTTCATGATATTAAATATATTTAAGGTATCAAATAATTGGAATATTGTTAAGCGTAGTTGATGCTATATATTTTTAAATATATTGTAAAAAAATATAAATATTATTGTTAAATTTCTAAACGGAATGAATTGGGTAAGTTAACTTACAATTATTATTTTCCATTCTTAAAAATAACCAAAAATAATTGAATACGAATTTAGTTAAGTTAATGCATTTTTCATTATTATTTGGCATTCTTAGCAAAAATAATTAACCTTACAATTACCCAACCAAATGTAGAAATGTTACCAATTACAGTCATTGCATATCATCTATATTTAGCAATAAATTCCATCAACTCCCTCTTTATATATATATAGATTAATGTATTCATGTAGCCTTAACTTGCACTGCTAGGCAGTGGATTTTTGATACGATGTAGGTCGATTGATTTCATTATTATTATTAATATATTCATGTAGCCTTAACTTGAACTGCTAGGCAGTGGATGATATAGCCATATAGGTGATTTCAGTTCAAGTAATTTTTACGTAAGAGTAACATATAACTTTTACCGTGACTAAGTTTCGCTTTATAATTTAAACATCTTCTTCCAAATTGATTATTATAATATGTGCAGTTTATTTTACCGTCACCAATAGGTTGGTTTGATTTTTGTATTTATAGTTTATACTAAATAGTATGCAGGCATATTTTTTAGTTATAATTAATCGTATTCGTGATAATATATAACACATAGATGAAAATTTATAAGGAAAATGTTATGAAAGATGATTGCAAGGACAAAATAAGTAGAATTCAAGGAAAACCAAAAGGTAAACAAAATAAAAGAAAAGGAACCAAATATTATTCCATCTAGTACTTTTATAAATAACAAACTTAAAATAAAGAGACCCCTAAACCATATATAATTGAAATTCATAACTATCCTAACCAACTTAAAATAAAAGGCATTGCTGCAACTTCTTTATTCATAAGCGGGGGAAGCATTAATTAGTTTTGGCATCCTTCCCGGCCGTGAGCTGTGCACCTCCGGAGGAGTAGGCGGCTGGGGGAACGGCCAGTGCGGCCAAGTGGCGGGAATGGGTGGGTGGGGCCACGGCCACCGGCCGGCCTGCATCGGCGGGTGGAAGTAAGGGAAGGGTC